AACTTCTGCCTCCTGGGTTCAAGCAATTCTCCTGCCTCAGCCTCCCGAGTAGCTGGTACTACAGGTGTGAGCCACCACACCCAGCTAATTTTTGTATTTTTAGTAGAGATGGGATTTCACCATGTTGGCCAGGCTGGTCTTGATCTCTTGAGCTCGTGATCTGCCCGCCTCGGCCTCCCAAAGCACTGGGATAACAGGCATGAGCCACCGTGCTTGGCCCAGAGAAGAGTTTTAAGAAAAAGCATTTCAACCAACTTTTTCTTAAAGGGCTAAATATTTTTTAGGTTGTGGGCCATAAATCTCTATCATAACTATTCAGCTCTGCCTTTTGGTGTGAATGCAGCCATACACTACCTAAAGAATAGGAATAACTGTGTTCCAATAAAACTTTATTTTGAAAAAGTCAGAGTGTTAGATTTTGCCTGTGGGCCATAGTTTTCTGAGTCTTGCTTTATAGCATCTGGTACAACCTCACACCTTGAATATCCTGCGATAACATAGAAAACAAAAATCCTTCAGTAAATGCTTAATGAATGGGGCTGCCATGTGTTGTGATCCTACTAAGACATGGTGCATTCATGACCTAGGGAAGATGCAGCAAGGTTCAGACAGATACGTTTAAAACTTAAGGAATTATTTTATGATATAGTCCGGGAGAGTTTTCTGCAAGGAAAGTAATTTGAGAGAATTATAATCAAAGATCACTTCAACACCTTAAAGTACATCCAGCATCAACAAGATTTGGCACATGAAAAATACAGAAAGTAATTTTGAAGCAGATAGAAGCCCAATAATGACATTTTTAAAAGTCCACTTGCTTCCTTTGTATATTCACTTGACTCTCTATATCAGCATCTGAAATTTAACATGCCCAAACAGAGCTCTTGACTGTTATCCTGAAATATGTCTCTTCCCTTGCTTTCTTGGATGAATACATGGTGCCATTTGTCTTCCAGTTGCACAGAACAAAACATATGTAGCCTTTCTTGAGTGTCCTATGTTTCTCACCCTTATCAGCTCTAGTTTCAAAAATATATTTATGAATTTAAACATGTCTCAACACTTTTTCTGCTACTGTCCATCCAGCACCCTTATCTCTCCTCTGAGTGCCTGCAACAGCTGCTTAGGAAAATCTTTTTAAATTTAAACTTCACTGCTCCAATGGCTCCCTATTGCTCCTCAATTCATCTCTAACCATTCAGGCCCTGTTTCAGTGTACTCCACCTTGTGGCTTTGCTGTGGTGGATTGAACGGACAAGGCCCTTTCTGACTTGGGGTTCTCTTCTTTCTTTCTTGACAGTCATGATTCTGCTCAGAAGTCATGATTCAGAGAAGTCTCCCCCAACCACCTTCACTAAATTGTTTCCACAGCCCTTTTCACATCATTCCATCTCATTGCTTCATTTGTTCGACAATACTTCTATGACTACCACGTATTTACTTTTGTCTTTAAAAAAATATTATTTCCTATCAGAAAGTAACTCCATGGGGGCAGACTTCTTGCCTTGTTCAGAGCAGTGATTCCAGTGCTTACCAGTAGAAACATATGAATAGTATGGATGACAGTAGAAATTAATAATTTTAAAAAGTCTAATTCTACCTACCTGAATTCAACTTTTAAAGAAAAATGAATAATGAATACATTATGTAAAATTTCCTAGTTGGACAATTATAGCTATGATTTGTAAGCAACTTTTATGATCAGTTTCATGAATTATTGGCCGATGCCTATAAGGGAGATACATTTCCATTTTTCAGATCTGTAAATATTAGCTGAGAGTAGTAAAATTACTCTCTTAAGGAGAGATCCAGGTTTATAGGCCAGGTCTGTTTGTTCTAGTTTTCATCTTCTTTCAGTAAAATGCACAGCTTTTCCTTCCACTAAAGTGTTCCAAATAGAAAGCTATGTAATTAATTCCTACTTTTGATAACTAGTTAAAACACTTTTGAACATGGCATTATGCTGCATTTGGAAGATGCAATTAAAATATCTATTAGCTGCTAGAGGATTAGAATACAAGGGAAATCAAAATCCTTGTTCCTCTTATTATCAGGCCATAACCTTCCTTGATAGACTTCATTGAGAAGAAAAACATTTAAACTTGTATTAGACAAAACCTTCTGATTATCCTTTATTTGAATTTTTTCAGCCTTCAAAAATGTGTCATAATTTAGAGGCACATAATAAAAGAAATATAACTATACATTAAGATAAAGCTGAATCTTAATAAAACATATCAATTTAAAATCCTTCTAATGAGTACTGTAAGAAGTCTGGACATTTATATATATGAATAAATAAATTGATATTTTGAGGACAAAATTCTGTAAATCTCAAATATTTAATCAAGCATAGAACATATTCCTTTTGTTCCTGAAATCAAGAAGATATTTTGAAAATGATAAAGTGTTTTCATACAAATGTAACTTTCAAATTTGGACTCAGTTCTATGGATACAAAAGCTTAATAAAGATGAGTGCTATGGAATATGGCTAAAGTTGTATGAAGACAATTTCAATTATTCCTGTTTACTATTTAAACTCTCATGAAACAAGTGTTTTGAGAAAAGGCCAAGCTTTAATTTATAAAGGATCTCAGGAAAGTCAAATAGCAAATTAGCAGTGTGGTTTGTTAACCATTCTCAAACTTTTATGTTTAGTAAGGACCCAAAGTTTAGTCAAGGTGGTTGGCGACTTACAATCTCTTGAGTTTGATTTTCAAATATGAAATTAAAGTCTTATGAAATGCAAATGAATTTTAAAATGCTGATCACATTAATCAAAAACTAAACTTTTGTCAAACATTTAGTTGTTTTTTTTTTTTTTTTTTTTTTTTTGAGATCAAGTCTTGCTCTGTCACCCAGGCTGGAGTAGTGCAGTGGCGCAATCTCAGCTCACTGCAACCTCCTCTTCCTGGGTTCAAGCAATTCTCCTCCCTCAGCCTCCCGAGCAGCTGGAATTACAGGAGTCTGCCACCATGCCTGACAAATTTTTGTATTTTTAGTAGAAATGGGGTTTCACCATATTGGTCAGGCTGGTCTTGAACTCCCGACCTCATGATCCACCTGCCTCAGCCTCCCAAAGGCATTTAGTTTTTAGAACAGTATATTTATAACCTCTCTCTTGTTTTGGCATTTGTGCCAGTTATATATTTTGCTTCTATGTATATCTTAAACCTTCAATACATTTTTTATTTATTTTTTCTTTAAACAATAAATTGTCTTTTGAAGAGACTAAAAATGAGATAAAAGTCTTTTATAGTTGCTCACATATTTACCATTTCTAATGCTCTTCATGCCTTTATTTAGATTCAGATTTCCATCTGGTACCATATTTTTCTCTTCCTGAATGCCTTTACTAATATGCATTTTCTCAGCTTTTATATGTCTGAAAAAATATTTACAGAATTCTAGGGTGAAAAGTTTTTTTTTTTTTTTTTTTTTTTTCTTTCAGTACTAAAAATTTTGCTTTTTTTTTTTCTGGCATTTGTTGTTCCTGATGAGACTTGCTGGAAGGAAGGTCGTGCCATGACCTGCTCATCTAGCGCAGAAAGAAAGAGCGTATGGAATACCATGCTCTGTGCTCAAGGGAGGAATCCCTCTTGGAAGCACAAGAATGTGACCAGACTTGCTGGTTCCTATCTACAACCCCTCTAGCTTATTTAATGATTAAATCTAGAATAGAATTTGTTCTATATGCCTCAAAGGAAATGCCAAACTGCTCTAGCTATGTCCCCCCACACCCCTACCACATTCTTGCTTTGTGTCGTACACCAATAAATGGTGTAGGCCTCCAAGCTCAGGGCCTTCACAGCCTCCATACTCGTGTTGGTCCCCTGGTCCCCAGTTTATGCACTCTTAACTTGTATTTTTTCATCTCTTTAACTCCACTGTCCCTTGCAACCCCCAGGGTCCATGTCAGGGCTGGTCCCCGACAGAGACTCTGCTGTCAATTTTATCATTGTTCTTCTCTATTTATTGTTTAATTTTTTCAACAGCTTTTTTCAAGATTTTCTCTTTATCTCTGGTTTTCCATGATTTGATTATGATATGCTTTGGTGTGGTTTCCTTCCTGTTTCTTCAACTCGGGGCTCATAAAGTTCCCTGAATCTATGGGTTTATAATTTTATACACTTGGCATATCTTCCCTTTTGTTCCTTTTTTTCCCCTCTTTTTCTTGCCCGTTTGCTCTGCATAGGACTTTCAGTACTATATTCAATAGAAGTGATGAGAGTGGGCACCATCGCCTTCTTCCTAATCTTAGAGGAAAAGCTTTCAATTTTGTACTGTGGAGTATAAAGTTAGTTGTGGGATTTTCATATATGAACTTTATTATTCAGTGGCAATTTTTTTAAATTTATATTTTATTTTATTATTTCATAATAAAATGAAAGGGTATTGAATTTTCTCAAATGTTTTTCTGCACCAATTGAGATAATCATGTGGCTATTGACCTTCATTCTGTTAATGCGGTATATTACATTGATTGATTTTCATATGTTGAACCATCCTGGCATTCCACAAATAAATGCCACTTGAAATATGATGTCTAATCCTCTTAATGTGTTACTGAATTTGGTTTGCTAATATTTTGTTGAGGGTTTTTGCATCAATATAAGAATATTGGTCTGCAGTATTCTTTTCTTGTAGTCTTTGTGTATGATTTTGGTATCTGCATAATTTTAGCCTTATAGAATGTATTTGAAAGTGCTCCCTTCTCTTTTATAAAAATTTGAGAAGTCCTGGCGTTAATTCTTTTTTAATTTTTGTATGG